TGAGGTCAGGAGTTCCAGACCAGCCTGGCAACATGGTGAAACCCTGTCTCTATTAAAACATACAAAAACTGGCTGGGCACGGTGGCTCACGCCTGTAATCTCAGCACTTTGGGAGACCATGAGGTCAGGAGATCGAGACCATCCTGGCTAACACGGTGAAACCCTGTCTCTACTAAAAATATAAAATATTAGCCAGGCGTGGTGGCGGGTGCCTATAGTCCCAGCTACTGGGGACGGTGAGGCAGGAGTATGGCGTGAATCCGGGAGGTGGAGCTTACAGTGAGCCGAGATCATGCCACTGCACTCCAGCCTGGGCAATAGAGCAACACTCCGTCTCAAAAACAAACAAACAAACAAAAATTAGCTGGGCGTGGTGGAAGGCACCTGTAATCCCAGGTTCTCGGGAGGCTAAGCCAGGAGATGTGTTTGAACCCGGAAGGCAGAGGTTGCAGTAAGCTGAGATCGTGCCATTGCACTCCAGTCTGGGTGTGACAGGGTGCGACTCTGTCTCAAAAAAATAAAAAATAAAAAGATTCACATCAAGGCAAATCACTGTGAAGTTTTAGAATGTCGGTGATAGAGAAGATGAAATCAAATGACCTAAGTGATAGCTTAAGGAAAAGTAGCCTCTATGTAATTCATGTTTGGTTTTGTTTTTTACTACCTTTATAGAAATGACAAACCTGGAAAGAGTCACCTAAGACAATCAGGTCGACATTTTCTGAAAAGTGACCTAGCTCCAAGCACTGTTAGATGTTGAACATATAAAAAAATATGGCATAACCTTTGTTTTTAAGGAGCTCACAGTTCAGCAGAACAGTCAACCATGAAAGCAGGTCATGGTAATACATGATATATAGTAAGTGGCATAAAAACAGCATGGAAAAAGTATAAACTGTGGGAGTATCTCTCATAATTTCTTAGTGCCAAAGTCCCATCTATATTCACTAGGAAACACTGGTATATTTATCTCAGGAACTTCAGTAATTGACACCAAGTAATACTAGCAGATGCTACTATTACTAGTGTTGCTAGTATGCCTAGAACAACTCCACTTTTAACAAGCAATAAGGGATTCAACTATCAAAATATCTTCACAGTTATTTTATAACTGTGAATACTTAAATTATTATAGACCACCTCTAATGCACAAGAGGGAACCCTGACAGGAAAAGGCCTATTATTAGCAATAGTTAATTCAAGTGTTCTCAGCAAAAATTCCATTTTAACTTTATTTTCACTTACTCAGAACTTCCTGAAAGTCTTTATTTGGGCAGAAACTTTCCATGACTGGCTTTTTCCAAAAGGTGAATCATTTAGGAAAGTCTGAGCTAACTGGCTCAGCTAGTTATGTGATAGGGCAGAATACAAAATACTATATTCCCCCATTCCCCTAGGTTAATAAGCTAAACATTTTTCAAGTGGGGACAAAAACAAAACGAAAAGACCAAAGCCCAAAATTTAACATTAAAATACAGTTAGAAAACCCAAGACTAACTTTGTGCTAACACTACCTTACACTTAGACCTACAAATTCCTTCCCATCATCACTAGCTCTTCTCACATTTCTTAAAGATATAGTAATGTTCTTAACTTGATACAGACACAAAAATAATTACATGAAGAAATTAAAACGTATGCTCAAATCCATACAACAAATTTGTATCTGGTTATCAATGAAAACTCAGATCTCGTAAGTCCCCTCATGAGAATTCCTTATAATGCCTAAATTTAAGTCTAAATAATTTAAGTTAAAAAAAAAAAAATCCTGTCAACATGCCCACTATTAACAGGGTTTTTTTTTTTTTTTTTTTTTGAGACAGAGTCTCGTGCTGTCGCCCAGGCTGGAGTGCAATGGCGCGATCCTGGCTCACTGCAAGCTCCGCCTCCCGGGTTCACACCATTCTCCTGCCTCAGCCTCCTGAGTAGCTGGGACTACAGGCGCACGCCACCGCGCCCGGCTAATTTTTGTATTTTTAGTAGAGACAGCGTTTCACCGTGGTCTCGATCTCCTGACCTTGTGATCCACCCACCTCGGCCTCCCAAAGTGCTGGGATTACAGGCGTGAGCCACCGCACCCAGCCGGTTTTTGTTTTCTTTAGGGGAAGGGAGTTACAGAACTTTCACTTTTCATGTTATATATCTCTGTAACGTATGAATTTTAAAGCAATAAGCATGCATCATTTTGAAATATAATGTAATTTATATGAAAAAACGTGCTTCCATACTCATTTGTTTTTTTATAGACATGGTGCTGCCCTCTCCTGGCAAATTATGAAAACAGCGAACTCCCTGAACACCCATCAAGTACATTTAAAATTACCATCCACTTGTTTTCAAACCTGAAATAGGAAATTTATGGCACAAAACTATCTTAGTATTTATTAACAAGTCCACAACATTTAATTTGACTGAAAATTTATGACTTTTTTTTGAGACAGGGTCTCACTCTGTCACCCAGGCTGGAGTTCAGTGGCACGATCTTGGCACACAGCAACCTCTGCCTCCTGGTCTCAAGGGATCCTTCTACTTCAGCCTCCCGAGTAGCTAAGACTATAGACACACACCACTTTTGTACAAATGGAGTTTCTCCACGTTGCCCAGGCTGGTCTTCAACTACTGGACTCAAGCAATCCTCCTTCCTTAGCCTCCCAAAGTGCTGGCATTACAGGCATGTGCCTCTGCGCCCAGCCTAGTGACTTCTTACAGCAACAGTTATTCACCAGCTTTTTGTACACTCTGTGTGAGGGCCACTGGTGAAGTTATAAATAAATATTTCTTAGATAGTCTACATAACACATAGAAAATAATTCAAGCCAAAAAAGACTTAACTTCAAAAAAACTTTTAAACCTATATTCCTAATGGTACATTAATATACTTTCTATATTATGTTTATAGGACTTTCAAACTATTAACAGTTTATACTGTCAGTGTTCTGTTGGTCCCCTACTGGATGGACAACTCAATAGCTTCCGGAATGATTTCAGGCAGTAAAATACATTACTAATTCATATCATCAATAATTATTTATGGGGCCAGGCGTGGTGGCTCACGTCTGTAATCCCAGCACTCTGGGGGGCCAAAGTGGGTGGATCATTTGAGGTCAGGAGTTCGAGACCAGCCTGGCCAACATGATGAAACCCCGTCTTTACTAAAAATACAAAAATCAGCCATGCGTGGTGGCACATGCCTGTAGTCCCAGCTACTTGGGAGGCTGAGGCAGGAGAATCGCTTGAACCTAGGGGGTGGAGGTTGCACTGGTCTTTTATTCCTAAGTTCCATTACATCGAAACAATAAAGTATTAATATTTAACAAGATAATTCAGGGTCATCAGCTTCCAAAGAAATAAATACTTTAAAACATTGAAAATAAATCAGTTTGCTTTCAGAAATGACACACTAAATGAATTTCTCTTCTTAACTGATGACGGCCAAAATCCCAACTGTAGAACAATCCTCAGAAAACTTGTCATGTAAAAACACTCAGTTCAATTTAGATATCATCAATGTCTTCATCGTCATCTCCAATATCATCAAATTGGATTTTATCATCATCTCCAGGACCAAATGTGTCTGTTTCATTGATTTTAGCATGCTCTGGAAGCTCGCCATATGCCTTCAGGCTTCTAGCTTCATCTGCATTGTACTTTAAAATTACATCAGCTTTGTTATCCTAATAGTCTCGTAGACCAACCAATATAATGTCTGAAGTATTTATCCAAACCTTTTTTCTCAATTTCCCTCTGATATGGCATAACCTCTTTACACCATCGAAACACAGTGCTTCCAATCGTCCATTTCCCAATATTTTGATTACCTGAGCATACTCTTGTCCATCCTCTTTAAACACCAGCTCTCTTTTTTCAGATTCATTCTCATTTTTACCCCTGCGCCTGTTTTTACCTCCTTTACCTTTATTCTTGGGCACAGCGGTGAAGACAGCCTCATGGGACCTCTTCCGACTCCTTTCTGGCGGTTACTACTACTCTAAGAGCAGGCTGACCTAAGATGCCTCAGGTGGGTGCGCACAACAGACTGGCCACGGAGCTCTCTAAAAGGCATTCTTAAGTCACAAACAATAGCATGAGCGATCTGTGCCTTAAGGACATGCTCCTGCTACAGTTAACTAGCCCAACCTATTCCTTTAATTAGGCCCATCCCTTCGTTTCCCATAAGGCATACTTTTAGTTAATCAAATATCTATAGAAACAATGCTAATGACTGGCTTGCTGTTAATAAATATGTGGGTAAATCTCTGTTCAGGGCTCTCAGCTCTGAAGGCTGTGAGATCCCTGATTTCCCACTTCACACCTCTGTATTTCTGTGTGTGTGTCTTTAATTACTCCAGTGCCACTGGGTTAGGGTCTCCCCGACCAAGCTAGTCTTGGCACCAGGTATCAGGGAGGCTGAGGTGAAAGGATCTCTTGAGCCTGGGAGATCATGGCCACGATGGGACCACTACACTCCAGTCTGGGCAACAGAGTGACACCCTGTCTCAAAAAAATTAAATAAAATATGAAAAATAAACAAATAAATAAATAGGCCAGGCGCAGTGGCTCACGCCTATAATTCCAGCACTTTGGGAGGCCAAGACGGGTGGATCACAAGGTCAGGAGTTCAAGATCAGCCTAGCCAACATGGTGAAACCCCATTTCTACTCAAAATACAAAAATTAGCTGGGCGTGGTGGCGCGCACCTGTAATCCCAGCTACCCAGGAGGCTGAGGCAGGAGAACGGCCTGAACCCGGGAGGCGTAGGTTGTGGTGAGCCGAGATCACACCACTGCACTCCAGCCTGGGTGACAGAGCAAGACTCCATCTCAAAAATAAAAAATAAATAAACAAAAATAAACAAATAAGCCGGGCGCGGTAGCTCACGCCTGTAATCCCAGCACTTTGGGAGGCTGAGGCGGAAGCATCACTTGAGGTCAGGATTTCAAAAACAACCTGGTCAACACGGTGACCATCTGTACTAAAAACACAAAAATTAGCCAGGTGTGGTGGCAGATGCCTGTAATCCCAACTCCTCGAGAGACTGAGGCAGGAGAATCACCTGAACCTGAGAGGCAGAGGTTGTAGTGAGCCGAGATCATGCCACTGCACTCAAGCTTGGACAACAGAGACTCCGTCTCAAATAGACAGACAGACAGACAGACAGACAGATAGACAGATAAACAAGCAAACAAATAAATGAAATAAAATAATTAGCTAGTTGTGGTGATGTTCACTTAGAAGGCTGTGGTGGGAGGCTGAAATGGAAGGATCACTTGAATCGGTGAGTTCAAGATTACAGTAAGCAATGATTGCACAACCGCACACCAACCTGGGTGACAGAGTGAGATAGCTCCTGTCTCTAAAAATCAAAAAATAATCCTAGTAGTTCCAGGCAAGAAAGTAATTTAACATGTTTTTCAGTAGCAAATAAATTATACAGGTAAAAATGAAAGTTAGAAAACTAGTGTTTCTATAAATTAATATGTTTCATAGAATGTTTTGAATTGTATTTTCTATTAAAAAAATATTCACACATGGCTGGGTGTGGTGGCTCACATTTGTAATCCCAGCACTTTGGGGGGCCAAGGCAGCAGGATCGCTTGAGCCCAGGAGTTCAAGAGCAGTCTGGGCAACACAGTGAGACGACATCACTACAAAACAATTTTAAAAGTCAGATGGAGGCCGGGCGCGGTGGCTCAAGCCTGTAATCCCAGCACTTTGGGAGGCCGAGACGGGCGGATCACGAGGTCAGGAGATCGAGACCATCCTGGCTAAGTGAAACCCCGTCTCTACTAAAAATACAAGAAAATTAGCCGGGCGAGGTGGCGGGCGCCTGTAGTCCCAGCTACTCGGGAGGCTGAGGCAGGAGAATGGCGTGAACCCGGGAGGCAGAGCTTGCAGTGAGCCGAGATTGCGCCACTGCACTCCAGCCTGGGGCACAGAGCAAGACTCCGTCTCAAAAAAAAAAAAAAAGTTAGATGGGCACGGGTGGCATATACCTGTAGCCCCAGTTACTCAGGAGGCTGAGGTCGGGGGAAATCAATTGAGCCTTGTAGTTAGTTGAGGCCAGCGTGAACGACAGAGCAAGACCCTGTCTCAAAAAAAAAAAAAATTCATGTATAGGAAATTCGGGCTTCCAGAATTCCTTTTTTCTTTCACTAAAATATAACTTAAATTTAATTATAACTTGACGGGATAAATTATTGAAAATGGCTACTAATGAAGCATTTAATATAAACTTTGAAAACACAGTATCACAGGCAGGGTGCAGTGGCTCACACCTGCAATCCCAGCACTTCGGGAGGCGAAGGCAAAAGGATCACTTCAGCCCAGAAGTTCGAGACCAGCCTAGGCAAAATGGTGAAACCCATCTCTACAGAAAATACAAAAATTAGCCAAGCGTGGTGGTATATGCCTGTAGTCTCACCCACTCGGGAGGCTGAGGTGGGAGAATGACTTGAGTCCTGAAGGTTGAGGCTGTAGCGAGCTGAGACTGTGTCACTGCACTCCAGCTTGGGTGACAAACAGAGACTCTCTCTCAAAAAAAAAAAAAAAAGAAAGGAAGGAAAGGAGGGAGGGAGTCTGAAGGAAGGAAGGAAGGAAGGGAGGGAGGGAGGGAGGGAAGGAGGGAAGGAAGGAAAGGAAGGAAAGGAAGGAAAGGAAACGAAACAGTACATTTTTTACTTTTATCCAGATTCATTCTGGATAAAGGCAAAAAATGAAAACTCTGAACTAAATGAAACTGCTTTAAAATGTATACTTCTGATCCCATGAAAATATCTCTGTGTTACACCCTGGCAGATCCCATGTTAAAAAAAAAAATTGTGTGAAAGATGGAATGGTGGACAGAAGGCAGGAAGGAGAAAACCAACAAAGAAATAATTTACATATAAATTATCCACCAGGAGGAGCAGAGTCATCAATACAACTTAGATTAGCAAGAAAGAAATAAGGTCTTTCATCACAATTAAAACTTTAAATATTAATATAAACAGTGGGCCGGGTGCAGTGGCTAACGCCTGTAATTCCAGCACTTTGGGAGGCCGAGGAGGGTGGATCATAAGGTCAAGATTTCAAGATGAGCCTGGTCAACTCGGTGAAACCCCATCTCTACTAAAAACACAAAAATTAGCCAGGCATGGTGGAAGGCACCTGTAATCCCAGACACTCGGGAGGCTGAAGCAAGAGAATCACTTGAACTGGGGAGGCGGAGGTTGCAGATAGCCGAGATCATGCCACTGTACTCTATCCTGGGTGACAGATCAAGACTCTATCTCAAAAAAATAATAGTAATAAAAACAAAATAGTGCTCATTCAAAGTGTGTGTCTGACATTTAATACTGAGAATTGATATTTTACTCAGCTTTTTGTTTTTTTGTTTTGAGACAGAGTCTCGCTCTGTTGCCCAGGCTGGAGTGCAGTGGTGCGATCTCGGCTTACTGCAACCTCTGCCTACCGGATTCAAGCGATTCTCCTGTCTCAGCCTCCCAAGTAGCTGGGATTACAGATGTGCACCACCACACCTGGCTAATTTTTGTATTTTTAGTAGAGATGGGGTTTCACCATGTTGCTCAGGCTGGTCTCGAACTCCTGACCTCAAGCGATCCACCCACCTTGGCCTCCCAAAGTGCTGGGATTATAGGCATGAGCCACCATGTCAGGCCAGCTTTTTGTCTTAATAACAGAATAAAAGGTAACAGTCATTCCCCGTATATTAACACTTTCAATGAACAGCCTGTATAGTTACATAATTCTTTCCTTTTTCCTGTCTGCGGTTCGTTTTGACCACATGCATTGAAATGTAATGTTATGTCTATTAAATCCTTTTTTTCCCCCCACACCTGTCGACAGAGGTTAAAAGGCCCACACTTGGAGGGGGCAGGTGGCCCCAATTATACGCACACAGTGCTGTGGTGCTGCAGCCTGAGCCCCATGGCCACAAAGAGAGGTAGTAGGGTAACTGCTGAATCTTAGTAAAACATTAGTTAACTTTTATATTTGTTTTTCTAGTAATTCCTTTGTATTGTGTTTTTAGAAAAGTACTGGTCTGCAATAGATTGAAAATTTTAAGTTGGGGTCCTTCACCATAGATAGCAATCTGCTCTAATGTTAACTTTACTGAATATGAGAGTTATACTGAAAATTTTAAGTTGGGGTCCTTCACCATAGATAGCAATCTGCTCTAATGTTAACTTTACTGAATATGAGAGTTATACTGAATGGAGAATGCCCTTGGTTGTAGAAGACATGTGCTAAAGTATTAAAGGCTGAGGTGTCACAATGTCTACAAGCAAATCTCAAATGGTTCAGCCAAAACAAAAGAAAAACCCAGATACAAATGGTGAGAGAGAGGCAATACATTAACCAGTGGTGAATCTGGATGATAGGTATGTAGGTGTTTGTTATAACACTATTCTTGCAACATTTCTATAAGTGTGACATTTTTTTCAGAAGAAGATGTCAGAGAGAAATTTTTAATAATAAAAAGTTTTGTTCCATACCATTTATAAAAGTGATAATGGCCAGGGAGAGTAGTACAACCCTGAAGTCCCAGTTACTTAAGAGGCCGAGGCTGGAGGATCGCTTGAGCCCAGGTGTTCAAGAACAGCCTAGGCAACAGAGCAAGACCCTTTCTCAAACAAAAACAAAAACAAACACAAAACAAAAAAACTGATAATGTCAATTTTTTCATAAATATACCTTCACTAGATAAATAATTGTTGAAAACATTATTTTTAAGAATAACAATTTTAGGGAAAATTGTATTTTCAGAGAGCCTACAGGTCTAATTAATTACTGCCAATGAAAATCAATGTGACCGCCTATAAATTTATTGATTGGCACTTTCTCTGTTCTCATTTAGTTCTAAATTACAAATCTGCTATTTTCACATAATAAAATTGAAATAAATGGGGGAGGGGAAATTAGAGGTATGTGGCTCTTACCTAACAATCGGGAGGCTAACCTGGTCAAGGCATTAAGCCCCTACTTAACCTATGGTAAATAAACCTTATTACTCAATCAAAAAAATATCATTAAGGTAAGAAAATAATATTGAGGCAGGGCACGGTGGCTCACACCTATAATCTCAGCACTTTGTGAGGCCGAGGCAGGTGGATTACGAGGTCAGGAGTTCAAGACCAGCCTGGCCAACATGGTGAAACCCCGTCTCTACAAAAACTACAAAAAAATGGCCAGGCACTGTGGCTCACGCCTGTAATCCCAGCACTTTGGGAGGCTGAGGGGGGCGGATCACTTGAGGTCAGGAGAGCCAAGATCATCCTAACACAGTGAAACCCCATTTCTACTAAAAATATAAAAAAATTAGCAGGGCATGGTGGCAAGCACCTGTAGTCCCAGCTACTCGGGAGGCTGAGGCAGGAGAATGGCGTGAACCCGGGAGGTGGAGCTTGCAGTGAGCCGAGATAGCGCCACGAGCCAAGATCGCACCATTGCACTCTAGCTTGGGCGACAGAGCAAGACTCTGTCTCCAAAAAAAAAAAAAAAAAAAAAAGGCCGGGCGTGGCGGCTCATGCCTGTAATCCTAGCACTTCGGGAGGCCGAGACAGGTGGATCACCTGAGGTCAGGGGTTCAAGACCAGCCTGGCCAACATGGCGAAACCCCATCTCTACTAAAAACACAAAAATTAGCTGGGCATGGTGGCACACGCCTGCAATCCCAGCTACTCGAGAGGCTGAGGAAGGAGAACTGCTTGAACCTGGGAGGTGGAGATTGCAATGAGCTGAGATCGCACCCTGCATTCCAGCCTGGGCAACAGAAGTGAAACTCCATCTAAAAAAACACAAAAACAAAAACAAAACAAAACAAAAAAACTACAAAAAAATTAGCTGGGTATAGTGGCGTGTGCCTGTAATCCCAGCTACTCGGGAGGCTAAGGCAGGAGAATTGCTTGAAATGGGATACGGGAGGCGGAGATTGCAGTGAGCCGAGATCATGCCACTGCATTCTAGCCTGGGCTACAGAGCAAGACTCCGTTTCAGAAAAAGAAAATAATACTGAAACCAAATTTGTCTCCTTGCATTTTCTTATCTGATTTCAGGCTTCAATGGGGCTCAGATTGCAGTCAAGGAAAGTAATAAAGGGAAACATGACTTACCAAAAGTCACAAAACACGGCAATGATCAAGTGGAACAAAATACTTAACTCTTATATTCCCTTGCTTCTGTTCAGCTGACCACTTCGTAAAGCTCAAAAACTACACTGCTATATGTGAAAGGACCTTTCTCATGCTCCCTGATAATTTATAGAGCCAGTTTTCCTTGAGTTCAAATATAACTCTCCCAAAATATTATGATGGATTGAAATGAGGATAGATGGCTAACACCAGTTAGAGAGAGATGCTCACACTAGTTTCAAAGTTTGTGAAACTTGGAAAAGTTTGTGAAACTTACCGTACTTCTTCACCAGCAAAATCAAACACCTTGGTGATTTTAACTTTTTCTGTTTCTTTAGGTTTCTCTAGCTCTTCTGCTTTTACCAACAATTTACTTGAACTTGTCTCTTCAGTCTCCTCTCCTTTCTACAAAAAAAAACAAGAAACGTAATCAGTTTCACCAAAAGATGAACCATATTGTTTATAGCTACTTTTTATTATTTTTTTTCTTTGAGACAGTGTCTCACTCTGTTGCCCAAGCTGGAGCGCAGTAACACAATCTTGGCTCACCGCAACCTTCCCACCTCCCAGGTTAAAGCGATTCTCCTTGCCTCAGCGTCCAAAGTAGCTGGGATTATAGGCAACCACCACCACACCCAACTAATTTTTGTATTTTTAGTAGAGACAGGGTTTCGCCATGTTGACCAGGCTGGTCTCAAACTCCTGACCTCAAATGATCCACTTGCCTCAGCCTCCCAAAGTGCTGGGATTGTTGGCGTGTGCCACTGCACTCAGCCTATAGTTACTCTTAAATGTTTCATCTCTAATTAGTTAAAGGCCTATTGGAAATTTATATGATTGGAGAAGCTTATTCTCCTACCATAGGAAATGCTTTGCTTTTCACTTAGTACAACTGTTAACAAAAGGCATCTGGTCGATTTCCGTAGGCTTCAAATGTCAGTAATGTAGGGTATTTCTGGAGAGGCATTCACCTTATTAATCTCTCAACTTACCTTAACTTGTGTACTTGGGGGCACTTTTGATTTTGGTCCCACATCATTGAGGAAGCTGGCCCACAGTTCGTCCTCCTTCTTTTTCCTTGCATCCTCTGATCCAATGGCTTTTTCCTGCTCTGCAGCTTCATCTTCCTCCTCACTACTGCTTCCCTCAGATTCTGAATTGGCATCCTCCTCTTCCTCTTCTTCTAATGAGAGGCCACCTTGTTTTCTCTTCCTAATCACCAACAGCCACAGGCAAAAGGAAAGACAGACAGCGCAAAATGATTTCAGTTATCCCTCTCCCAATCCTAAACACAATCTTGTAAACCCGAGAACATTTTAAATTCTGGGACTACTGATTAATGAGTAGAAGAGGTGAGTGGAAGAAGTAAGTTGAAATTTTGTAGAAGAAAAAAAAAAAATTTGAAAAAAAAAAAAAAAAAAGAACTGAGCTCTTATTGCTAACTTTTCTCCAGTCATTTAAAATCAAAGTATGGCGTTCTCCTTCTAAATCAGGACCAGCTGTTTTCACAAAGAAAACATCCAAATCACCTAATCACATAATTAATCTGCCCGGGAGGAACATT